GAGGAAACTGAGCACAGGGAGACTGAGTAACTTATCGGAGGTAACAGAACCAGTAAGTAGTTGTGGCATAACTGGAAATATACATTTGGTGTTTGTCCTTGGTTCCTGAGCCAGAACGTCTAAACTCTTTGGAATTTCTTGAGTAATGAGGGGGATAAGAGCATCTTTCATTTGGGGTTCCCTAGATATCTTCAGAATGGGGGCAGGTCACCAGGAAAACCAAGACTTCAGTAGAGACTTGAAATTTTCAGCCCTACTTCCCAGCTCCTGGGAGAGAAGGGTTGGAGATGGAGTTAATCACCAGTGGTAAATGATTTAATCAACCATGGCTATGTAAGAAAACCTCCATCATAAGCCCTAAATCACAGGGTTTGGGGTGCTTCTATTTGCATCCATGTGCTGGGAGGGTGGCACAGCCTAGATTTATGGGGACAGAGGATCGATCCTACACTCAGACACTTTCAGACCAGCCCCACGTACCTTCCTATCTGAATGTTCATCTGCATCCTTCACTTCGTGATCTCTGTGAGTCCTTATGGCAACTCATCGAACCTGAGTGGGGGATCATGGGAACTCCCTATTTATCATCACTTCATCAGACGTCCAGGTGACCTGAGTGCTCCTGACCACTTGTGACTCTGGAGGAGCCTCTTTTTCTTTCTCCTTATCCTAATAAACCTGTCCTTTTAAAATGTAAAGTAAACAAACAAAGAGAAGTACAGGTGATCTGATTTTATTTTAACTTTGGGTAGTTCATGTCAGAAGTGAATCCAATTTCAGGACACTACCTAGTTGGTGTCAGAATTCATTGGTATGAGAGAAAACCTCTTATTTAGTGTCAATGGGAAACTGACAGGTTGATCTAGTCTGGCTTTTGAGACTAAATGAGCAACTATGTGTTATTCTCACAACAAAGGCTCCAGAAAGACCCTCTGAAAGCAGAGACGGGGAGTTACTAATGAAAGTAATTGGAAACATTCTCATGGATGACTCACAAGTTCTCATTAAGAGATACAAGAAAACATGACCACACTTAAAGGGAAAAATCAAGATGATCTGGTGGTAAAATACTTCACTGAATTCCAGTGTAGTAGTCACTACGTAGGGCCAAGACACATCATGAGTTCTGAGGGTGCGGCCCAGGGATAGCTCCAAGGGAGGGCTCAGAAACTGGGGACACATCACAGGGATGCTCAGGACAATGACTGAGCTTGGGTGCTGGAGGATTCCTCTTGTGAAGCATGACTCAACTCATGGAATTCAGGCTGAGAGGGATTTATCTGATCAATGAAGTCTTTGTACAAGAGGCAGTATTTGTGAAAAATATCTCAGAATAGGATTTGGAAAAGAATGTCAGGAAAACAAATGCCTGGGTCCAACAGCAAACAGAGTGAGCTTTCTACCCGACAAAGAAGGGATGGAGCTAGGGAAGACAGTTTTCAACTTAGCAAGTCTGCATAAAAGGAAATGGGGAACAATCATGGAGAAACATTAGGTCAGACCTCAAAGAGATGACAGAAAGCAATGTTTTTAAGGCCTAGGACTCCAGCACAGGGAAGGTAAAGGCTTCCTGGGAAGGCCAGTGTTCCTCAACATCAACCTCAGACTGGACTCAGCAATTGGATGTTAACTCTGGTTGAGACAAAGGAGAAGTTCAAAGGAGTGATGAAGTGAAGAGATTTCAAGGAAGGAAGGAAAGAAGGAAGGAAATAGCAGAAGCCACAGTGCTACGGGGATAACCATATCTTAGATCAGGAATGCAGGTCTTAAAGGGAAATGGAAAATACACATCTTAAATATGTATATGAATAATAAGGGGACACAGGAGCCACAAGTAAGCCTGTTCATGGGAAGGACCTATTTTACATTTTTTAATTTTTCACAAAGACATGAATTTGCAAAGGTCATTCTTGGAGCGAGGAGGCAGAATGTGTAGATTGCATTTGTTTCCCCCAGGATAGAGGAAGCAAAGTGCAAAATTAACCTCGTGTGGGTGGCTTTTTCTCCACACTACAGTTGATACTTATTAATTGGCCTTATACTTATTATTAATTGGCCTTATAAAGTCTGAAATACTTATACTTATTGATACTTATTAATTGATACTATTAATTGGCCTTATAAAGTCTGAAATACATTCTCTTTTTACCTTTTCATGTATTTTCTGTTTTTCCCATTTCTTCCCTAACCATCTCTGCTATGGTTATCCATTAGCAATAGTCACATGGCATCATGACCTGGGTTTTGGGAACTTAAATTTGCTGTAGAGGCTTGGGCTTTGCCTGTGTTTCCTAAATGCTGTGGATAAGACATGCTTGGACGTGGTTCCTATGCCCCCTAAAGTGACTTTTTGGGGAAAATGGGGGGGTACTAGAGACTCGTGTTTGGATTTACTCAACTCTGGAGGGACTGAGCAGCCACCCCCATTCCAATAGGAGAGACCTTGGCTGAGATTGTAGAAGGAAGTGTCGACTTCCACTTGGCTGGTAATGCCAGAGGAGAACATGTGGCTGTGAGTGAACACAGAAACCAGGGAAGGTAGAACTGGAGGCTAGCATTTCTTTGAATTTTCATTTTTAAGAGAGAGGAAGATTTTATTTTGAACTTTAATTCTCTCTGGATACTTGTTAGTGGGAGATTTACATTCACATATACTGAAGGAGACAGGGCCTCTTATATTATCAAGCTGTGCTGTGGACAACTTTGCGTACTACACACGACAGTATGGCTGGATACTGTGGGAGACAGTGAATTCTGGCATAGGGTACGACGTAGCCTAGACATCAATGAATGGATCCTTGCAATGTATCGAGAGGCGTTCAGAAACATGAGCTTAACTCTATTGCATGAGTCCCAGGAGAACATTCAAGGTCAGTGATTCTCTGAAGCATGCAATAGACATGAGGCTCTAGTCGTGGCCACTCCCCCACTGCCTCAGAAATCTACCCAGAGCTAGAAGTGATAGATCATGTCTCACTGGGCTCTGTGGTCACTACGTCCCCTGCTCTCTCTATTTGTAGAGTGTAATGACTTTCATGCAAGAATGACAGCAAAGGCCCCAAAGTGGAGCCTCATTTCTTTTTTTTAAGATTTTTTTTATTTATACAAGCACTGGGTACAGTCAGAAGCGCGGGAGAGTGAGAGAATTCACTAGAGCCAGAACGGGGAGCAGAACAGGCAGACTGACGAAGTACACTGCTGAGGGGAGCAGCGGGTGGCAGGAGAGGTCTGCGCGCCATGTGGGACCCTCACCCGGTGGCCGGGGATAAAACCCAGCGCTCAACCGCTGCGCCACCACAGAGGCCCCAGAGCCTCATTTCTTGCTCTAGCTTCTGATTTAGAGATCTGGGTGAAAACATTTTCCCAGGCTTTAAATGATTTCAGAAGAAGGAGTTCTTGGCCATACCTGATGTCTCCAGAGGGAGGAGGTTATCATCTGGATAACAAATGGTGGTCAAAATGTCGGTGTTTTTCTGTGTGGGAAAAATAGTGGAAGTCTATAAGGATGTACATGTAGGAACCTATTCGTGTGGGTCACAGGCTGAGTATATATCAGATTTTATGACTGTAAGTTTTTAGACCTCAACTCTCCCAAGTGCTGCTGGTCATCAGACTTGGTCTTTCTAGGAGCAATAAAAGTGGTGGGGCAACTTCTTGAAGATGGCCCAGGCTGCCTTAAAGAACAGCAGCTCTCCTCTCCTGATGACCATAGGCTGGATGCTGAGACATTCTGAGACAGCTGGAGAAGTGAGGAGCTTTCCCTTCCACTTCCTTATTCCAGAGACTTCCATTCTATCTCTCCTGAGGGGGCAGTACTGTTTCCCATTTTTATATCCCTGTCTCCAACTTCCCCACTGAAGAATAACAGCTATGTCTGGGCTGTTGACAGGAAATGGCCTAACTGGTAATGTGTCCAGTGCAGTGACACAACCATCTGGGCATGTTTTTTGTTTTCATTTATGCTTTTGGTCACTAGCTATGACAGAGATGGCCAACTATCCAAAAAGTTATCACATGCAAGGCAGTGGCTCCCTAATTGGGGATGGCTTTTCCATCCTCAACCCTTATACTTAGGAATATGAGCAGAAGGAAGATCTTAGTCAAGGTCTTCAAGAAGTGGTTAGCTTTCCTTCATGCTCTTTCTGTCTTGCTGGCTAGAGATGGAGAATGATGAATTCTTGGGAGGGTGGGGGAGCCACAATGCAGAAGGAAACTTGAATAACTACATAGGGAAGAGATACCCTAACCAGAAACATTTGCCTTAGTTATTACATGGGTGAAAAACAGACTTTCACTGCATCTAAAGAATTATATGTTATAGCAGTTTACTATCACTCTAAGTGACTGGAGTCTGGCTTGTACATCCATCCCTCCCATTAGTGTGTTCCAATGTTTAAATATGAAAAGGAAACTCAAATTTCCCTTCTGGTCCCTGATGATGTTCTCCAAATCAACACTCACAGATGGTCTTATGATTTTGAGGATATTGGGTCTTAGTTTGTCCATTAATGAAAACCATTGCTTGACTCTTCATTCCTTTAATCTATATTCTATTAATTAGAAAATTAATAGATTGAGAAGGTGATTGAGAAGGTAAATGGCCAGTATTCAATACATACCTGACTCATTGGGGTTCTGGAGAGAGCCTCCTGGTAGTTAAGGCATGAAAATGAGAAAACAATGCATGTGCTAGAGGAATGATATATCAGATGCTAGATAAGAAGCTCCACCCCATCCCACAAATGGGAAGGTGGTGGTAAAAGCTGGGACTCAGGCATAGGCATGAAGGGCTGCAATGGTGTTTCCACCAGAACATTTTGAGACACCAAATTCTGTAAGAGACCATGACCCCAAAGGTCAGGTACTCAATGTGAGTGCAGACCAACTACTGGAAGAGATGCTTACATGGTACGGTAGCTATAACATGGCAGGTGAGCAGTTCTAGGGGAGTAAACCTCCATCTGCAAATATTTCAGAATATTTCTGAAAGCCCACAACTACCATTTGTAGCCTAGATTCCTTCTCCTAAAATATCTCTTGGGTACCACAGTTTTCTTGATGACCAGATCAGGGCAGAACCACTGAACAAAACAGCCATGACTTAGATATACAGAATTTAGCATGGAGGATCTCTCTCTGGTATGCATTTACCTGGGACATGGTAGGTGGTGATCAATCACACATAAGGGGACAAGATGGGGTGTTCTGTTTTCTAGCAGCACCCTAATATTTGTCTATAAAAGATCTTTCCTCATTTCCTTCCTCCAGGCCCCCTACCCATCCATCTTCTCATGAGGTCATTTACCCCACTGTTATGTATGGAGACTTTAAAAGGACCAGGGCCAGTTCCAACCACAATTCACATTAGCACAGCCCTAGTTTGGGGAAAGAGAAGTTGCCAGCATGTAAGAGAAGAAATTTACACAAAATACAAGTATATATATTTTTTTGCAACAAAAGAAACTATTTATTTGGAATATGCATTACCAGTACAAATTAGGAAACTGTAAAACCTACACCGTGTTAGTATCATTAGAGAACACAAAAGTTCAGTTGGAATCAAAAGGGACAGAAGCCTGTGCTCTCACAGAAGCAGAAAAGCTTAAACTTTCAAAACCAAAACAGAGCAGAACTTTGCAGGTTTATACTCTGAATAATAAGAATAGGGGAGGGGGAGCAGGAGAATAAAACCAACAACCAAAGGAAAGCACTTCAAAATAATTGAAAACTCCAAAGAAAAGAAGTAATAGGAGGGGAGGGGGGAAGAACATTGAATGTTTTATTTATTTTCACATAAGAAAAAAAAAGTTTACAAAAAATAAAAAGATTCCAGAAAGCTTTGAGCTAGAGATTGAACCCATAAAGGTGATGTGAAAAGCCCGTCATTGTTTTGTTATGACTTGGCAATAAGAGCACAAGTGTTCAGGCAGAAACACTTCTAAAAGTGTTGCTCCACAATTCTGCAGTTTGTCTTCACTTTTCTTGTGTAGGGTCTGTTTTCTGAAAACTTAATCATTGTTGAATGAAAAGATATTTACAATAAGTCTCTTCCCAGGAACAGTGCTTTCTTTTCTCACATAATTAATAAAAACATTCCGAATCAAGCCAGCTTTACAATTTGCTTCAAGCAGCTGCCTAAATCAGAGGTTAGTTAGCAGGTGTACTGTCCATGCATCAAACTTAACCTCTTCACATTAAAATGACAGCATGGAGTCTGGTTCAATTTCTTAACAAGTCTTCATCCAAAATCACGACTCAAAGGATCATGGGTGGTCTGGCCCCAGGTTTGGCTTCCTGGATCCAGCTGACACAGTCAACGCAGGGGCCACCACACCAGGATCTCCTGTGGGAATCTTCAGGAGGAAAAACCCTCTCTAGCTGGGAGAGGCCTCATGAAATGTTATTATTAACCAGGAAGAAAGAAAAGAAAGCACTTCATTGTGACATCCAGTCCACAAAGGCAAAAAACCTGCCCCTACAATACAAGTTTCCCTGGACCAATTCCACGAGTTTTCAAAGGGTCAAAGCAGAATCCAAGTCCCTGAATTTGTTTTTCTCAGGAGCTGCGGGAATGCCACAGCCACGCTGGAAATTCAGGTGAGCCACGTGACATCAACATGGGCTTTACCTGTTTTTGAAGTCAACTGAATTGTGAAGCAAAGCAGAAGTGTAAAGAAACCACCTACTCTACAATAGTTACCTTTTCACACCACCTCATATACATATTTAAGGAATAAAAACAGCAAGATCATAATCCTGACCAAAAATAAAAAGCCCCACCCCCCGATAAACAAACCAAAAATAACACAAAACATAATTTTTTTTTTAATATTTTAAAGAGCAGGAATAAAGAAAAGAAAAAAGAATTTATTTCTGGGTCTCAAAGTTAATAAACATAATAACGTGTTAGGTTGTACCTATTATGCTCACTATTCCAACCTTTTTTTTTTTAGTTTACAAAATGAATTACTGTCACTTTTAAACATTGTGAAACAGGAAATGGATGTGCACAACTCGACACTTTTCTAGCATTCTTGAACTAATTCACAAATGCAAGAAAATAAAAGAAAAATGGGGGAAATGATGAATGTAGGTAGTTTGGTGTTAAAAACTAATGCAGGAACGAATGCGCATTGTCACAGAAAGAGGAGGGGAATTCCCCACCCTGTTTTGCGTGCTATGAGGGTCATTTTTAAAATTTTTATTATAAACACTATTAAATTCAGACCGCTTTTTGGTTTTTTTTCTTTATCTGAATATACAAGAACATTCATTATCAAATGTTCATCATCAATACTACAAAGAACGAGACACAAGTCGCAAGAAACAATGGAAAATGTTAATAAAGCTGAAAGAATCATTGAGTATTTTTTTGTTTTTTTTTAAGTTTTTTTTAAATTTGAGTTTCTGTAGTTTCATCTTTTTTGGTATCGAAGTCAGGTTTTTCTGGGCAGAAAAATAAAACTCAGAAGGAAAGAGGGCAAAGATATGTGTGAGAAAAGGCAACCGGCAAATAAAGAACCACCACCACAAAGCAATAAAAACATAAATGGAAAGAAGGTGCCATCTGGCAAAAGTACTGCCCAGGAGTCAATTCCACGCCAGGAGTAGGTGTTAGGGATGAAAGGAGGAGATGACAAAGAATGACGAGGTGGCAAATTCAAGGCCTAGTGTTATTTCAGGGGAAATTTGCTGCCAGAGAAATGGAGCACTCCTACTTCATCAGAAAGTGAGAGTTCTGGGGCACATTTTGCTATGGGTAGGACTAATCTAGGATGAATTCCTGGGGCGCTACATTTCCAGAGGCACATGCTTTCCATCCCCATCCTCTGCTGCCAATGTGGTTATGCTTTGTTTAATGCAGAAAGAGTTCATGGCTCCATGTTGGATATGGTCATGGGTGTGGTGGGAAGATTGTGGGAAAGGCGTTGCATGTGAAGAGGACTGAGTGCAGTGCTGGGTGGGGAAAATGCTGACAGAAGTGATAATCAGTGCAAACTATAGCAGGGAAGAAACTACCTGTGCAAAAGTAGTACTGCTCTGATCTTTTTCATTCATTAACTTGAAATGCCATTCATTCAACCCAAATCTGGAATCATTCTTCCTGATCTCAAGAGAACCCTTTCAGTATCGTTTTTGTATTTTGCCCAAAGTGAGGCCCACCAGGGTCCTCTGTGGGTAGTTTCAACATATCCCTGCCATTAAGAGAAAATTCTCCTTTGAATCCAGTAACTAGGGGGTTCCCACAAGATGGCTACTTCCAGAATGACTTCTTATGGAGTCTGGCTGTGATTATGGCACAGACTGGTAGACACACTATTTCTACTGCCCTTAGTTATCAAAGCATAATCCCAGTTAGCCATATATTTGCTTTTTGCATTTCCTTCAAATTTGCATGTCCTCCAGTCTTAAACATTTCTACTTCCAACACACACTACAGCAGGTTTTTCTATCCATGCTGCAGTGCCCTGCAGAACTTCTGTGACTTTGTTAGTTGGTTATCCTCACCCCTCCCAAAGGTCTCTCAAGCAGTCAATATAACAGGGGAGAGTACTTACATGGCCACATTTTGGAATCAAATACAAACTAAGAGAACCTGATGCTATTCTTCTAGTTTGGAAGCTTTGCTCTATTCTGAGAAATCAAACAAACCAAACACAAATACAGTAACCTCGTCATCATGGTGATAACATCAGGGTATGAAGGATTACCAGGAGTTAGAGCAAGAAAACCAAGTTATTGTCCCTCTAGGGCATAAACCAGTTCATCTCAGGGACTTCACTCCTACTCTCTTCATTTGTATGAATTGTATATGAATAAAATCAATTTCTTAGTCTCTCACAAGCCTCTTGGGGAGCTAGGCGTAATTATTCCCATTTTACAAATGAAGAAAATGAGGCACCAAGAGTAGACCACCTCCCATTTTATCAAGAGACAGAGCTGCCATTTCTGTCACTGGCCTAGTTGGCTATGAATATAAGCTCAGGTGACATCAGAGAAAAACTTCTGGTACATACTCTTTTCAACATTTCCAGGGAATGAAAATCACGGTGACCATTTCACTGAGAACATCATCTCCCCCTTCTGCATGACCAACATGCCATTAAATTAAGCTAGCAAAAAAAGTTTGCCCAAGCCATGTTCTTACCTAACTTCTCCAGAACAAGAGGTCAGGAATCAAGAATGTGGTGCCATCTAACATTTTGGATAATTAATGCAATGTCTCTAAAACAAAACAAAAAACCAAACATAACCAAAGCCATGACAGACATTTTAAGTATGGAGGCGGCTCCCTGAGAGCTCCAGAGGTGGGAGGAACAGGAGGAGTGCACATTGCAAACCTGGCCTTCCTCATGATCAAGTCTTTCTGGGGTAGGCACGCTGGGGGGCTGCAGATCCTGGAGGCCCCAGGCACGTATTGCTTCTCTGTGTCAGTGACCTTCACTTACAGTTGCCAATTTCCTCTCTTGAGCTCATGAAGCATAATGCTGCGATTTCTCATGCAGGTGTTTGTATGTGGGGTGTGACTAATCTTGGGAGAGTGACAGTATATGCTGTGCATGTGCCTACATATGTGTGTTTGTGTGTGTGTGTGTGTGTAGACCATTGAAGGGTTTCAGGATAAGAACCTTCTACTTCTCAGTGATGCACTCTTTCCCAGACCTGACTCAGTCCTGGTTTGCAGTAGGCTTTAAACATTGCTTACTGAAAGTTTCATGGTCTCTAAAACTGTGCCTTTGAAACCAAGAAGCATTATTAGGATGATTGACAAAGCCTCTAAGATGTCTACTCTTCTTGTTCCCTGTGCCCATTCCTCTTGCCTGACTTTCTGCCTGGGAATAACCAAGTAGAGCTGAAACTGGAAACATGGCACCTTTAGAAGCCCAGTCATGGCAGTGCCCAGGAATTCCTGGGGCTGGGAAGGAAGAGGAGGAAAGTGCTCGAATCAGAATTATCCCCAGGGGGGCAATGGCGAAAGGAGGCAGGGAGGGCTGGAATGAGTAGGGCGATGTGGCGTATTCCTGCTAAGAGGTAGTGAGAGTAATAAGAGAAACAGAGGATTGCCTGTTAACATAGGGAGTGAGGGATCCGAGTGAGGTAAATTTGGCTCCTCAAACCACCAGCATGAAAACATACAAACACTTTTTTATTATTTTCTTTGTATTTTTTTTCCTCTTAAGTTCCTCTAATTGTTGAAAATATCCTCTAGGGATGTAATCAAGGGCGGGGACCCTGGGAGTCTAGGCAGGAGGGCAGGGGCAGGGAGGATGACGGACACCAGGCTGACAGTTGGAGGCAGGAAAGGGTGGCTTCTACCCAGAAAAAAAAAGGGAAGAGAGTATAAAGAAGTGTCCAGATTGGCTGAAATAGCATCCCAAAGAAGAGAAGAGAAGGAGACTCTTATTGTGTTTGCTGATTGCTTCGACCTCCAGTCTGACCGCTTCAGCGTTGGGAGAGAAACCCTCCCTCCTGGCCCGACCCGACTGGGGCACAGGGTCAGCCGGGATGCGATTGCTGGGAGATCAGTTGGAGGTATCAGAGTGAACACTGCCAGGGCCTTCTGTAGGGGAGGTCACTGATGAAGGGGTAGTAGCATCCTGCCAACCTCCATTAGCCTAGAAGGGAAAAAGGGAGAGAAGTCAGTCCTCTGAGATCGGTGTCTGTGATGAGCAGACAATGACAACAGGTCAACGTGTGGACAAGGCCGGGCACAGTGCCTGGCACCTGGGAACACTCCACAACTGGACAGCTGTTATTGTGGTGGATAATATTCCCCCCGCCCTCAAACGGGTTCTGGGTCATCCCAGTGAGACTCTGGACACAATGTTGACACCTCCCACTGCTCAAAGAATCTTTCCTTCAGTCTGAGTTGTCAAAATGATTGGTGCATTTGCTCTAGGAAAGTGACAACTACCTGGCAGGTCAAGACACCTGACTTCTAGTTCTCACTCTGAGAAGGACGAGTCACTGACTTGGGTGAAGCACATCTACCCTTTGGCCTTGGGTTCCTCTTGAAGAAAATAAAGAGGTTGCCCAGGCACTCTGAAGGTCCTCTCCAGCTCTGGATGCTCCCTGTTATAGAATCCCAGGTACCGGTCTGTGCAAGGTTCTGTACTGGATGCTCTCAATGATGAGTGAGCTATGGCTCATGACCTCACAGAGGGGACAAGATGAGCACATGAATGAACTATAATTTAAAGAAGAACCTAATAAATGGTAAATCCCAGTTGTTACGAAGGTTCAAAGGAAGGTGGTATGCCATCTTGTTGGTGCATCCACAAAACCTTCACAGAGGAGGTGCTCTTTGAAGCAGAAGGTGATTCGGGTGAATAAAACAGGCAAAGCCCAGTGCCAAGACCATTAAGGACAGGTCTGCATGAATATAGTATGGAGAGAAGTGGTGAGAGAAGGAGCTACAAGTCTGACTTTCATTTGTAGGTCATTTTTCTAAGACTAAATCCAGAAGCATCCAAAAATGGACTTTTCCAAAAGGATTTGTTTTAATGAGCACCTTTTCTGAAAAAGATCTCATCATTAAACTAGCTGAAGAGGATTTGCTCTAGTGGAAAATCCATGATGCAAAAGTCATGACTGTTCATGTCTTTTAAAGTACTAAAATGTAAGTATGCTATAATCTCTACTCCACTCCCCACCCCCATCACTGTTTCCCTTTGGAGTTAATGGGCTTCAAGTCTGGGAATGTTTAAGTGGAACAGACCAGGTCTTAAACATTCCTGTCAATTATCTCCCTGTGTATATTCTTCTCATTTTATTACCTGAAATATTGGGAGTAGATGAGGCAGTTAGTAAGACTGCCATTTGAAGGGACCATAGCTTCTCCCCATAATGCACAGGACGAGGATTGCACTTGGCCTTGAGCAGGTGCTACCAAAAATCTTGCTCACAAGCCATTTGGGAAAAGGCAGAGGTGCCAAGGAAAAGCAGGGTCTGGGTTATGACTGAAACAGAACACAGCTTCCTGACCTTTGAGTCAAATTCTTTTTCCCTGTCTTTTTCATCCACCTGGCTTCTTTTTCTTTGGCTCATCCAAATGATGATCCAATTTTCCCAGGAAATCCAGGCCTTCCATTCAAAGCCCCTCCCACCAGTTACTTCAGCATGATGATGGGTTGTTGCCCCAGCTCTCAAAGACCCCAAAGACTAGATCTGGATACCAAGAGGAAACAAGTTCATCCTTGGAAATGCCAAGAATACTTCTCCTCAATTCAGAGCAATGAATAACTGCTCTCAAGGTCACCATCACCTAACTTCAGTAGCTTTCCCACTACTCCCTGTTGGAGGACATCACCCCTTAGAACAATGAGGGGGAAAAGAGAATTTTTTCTTTTATAAAAGGAGGATTTCCTCTTTGGGGGACCAAGACTCTGCAGTATGATCAAAATCAAGAACAGAACTAATTCAGTTTCCTAATGCAGGCTGGTTGCCAGGATGATACTACCTTAGCCTCCCTTTGCAACCCAAAACACATCTATTCTGGTACCATTTTAGACTGATTGAGAATGGCGGTTAAATTTATTTTCCCCACATAGAAAATCCTTTACTATTTCATTTATCTTTATTATAAAAGTAATCTATGCTTATGAATATTTGCTATCATATATGTAATAGTTGAAAAATAGGAAAAGCATAAAAAAACAAAGCCTAAAACACCCATAATTCTATAACTCAGAAGTAATTGCTAGCATTTTGGTATCAGTCTGTCCTAATAGTATTTTTTATATGTGCATGCTTACTAGATAGACAGATAGATAAGTATATAGGGGTGTGAGTGTGTGTGTGCGCGCGCACACGTGTGTGCATGTGTGCAGAGTATTCTGGAATTTAAAGAAAACTAGACAGAAGTTCTTTAAGTATAGTGTCACAAAGCAGAGAGTAAAGTGTTGGTAAAAGAGAAAAAAGGGCATGTTCTAGATTAAATGTGGGGGTCTAGCAGATGCGGAAGCTCTGTGACAACACATCCGGTCCACGATCCCTAGTGAGCACATGGCATGGAGGAGATTCATCATGCTGCTCACGAATCACACTATTGCTATTACTTTGCCACGCTGCTATAACTCCATCCAAACAATAAGCGGCCCCCAAATGAAGCCATTAGTAAAGAAAATGAGTTTTGTTGTGTTTCCTTATGAGGGAGCTGGCAAGGCATGCTACATTGACTGGAAGGTTCCAGAAGTCATCTTTAAAGTTTTGAGTCATCTCTAAAATAACTGAAATAACTCAAACAGTAGACATCTGATTTCTCCCCTTAGGAAGTTCTGTTTTCCCAAACCAGTGTGCAAGATGCCAGAGGGCATGGAAAATTCACAGATGGTAGAGCCAGGAATTAGTTCAAGCTCATATCAAAACTGGCATTATAATTATTAATTGGCCTGCTGAAAAATAATACGTAAAACATTCTACTAAAAATAAGTATCTCTAAAGCAAACCTCTTGTAGTTGTCCTTTTCTCCCCAAGTCCCTGTCCGTCCAGAAACACGCACAGATGCACACACCAGATTGGATCACCCATCACCCCAGGGGGACCAGAGGCGCCCTGTGAAGTCCCACATCCCAGCAAGCCCTGAGTTCCAGGCAAAGTAGGAAGGTGGGCGCCAAGCCTCGGATACCCCAGTGATGACTCTCTACTTGTTGCCATGTCCACGCCACTGTCAGCAATGATTTCAAGTTAGATGAGAACAAGGACTTCAGAGGTGTGTCAAACACTGGGAAGTGGGGAAGAATTCTTTTCTCTCCAGGTGCTTTATACCATAGTATTCGGTCTGCTGCCATAGCTGCTAAAACCTCCACACTGAGATCAAAAACTGCCAGCAAACCTAACTTAACGGGGTTCCCGTAAATCACTTCGGCTGCTTCAGCGGTACCAGTGCTGCTTTAATGTAAGCCGATCACAGGCTGCGCCGTCTTGGGAAACAGCTGACCTCGCTTACTGCCACGTTAACCCTGGGGAGCAATTCCTTTCCTCTTCCCCCACTGCAGTGAATATTAAGTAGGAAACTCTGCCTTTGTGTGTTTATTTATCTCTGGACACAGTGAGAGTCAAGATGGCCTCATTAACAACTGTGCGGGAGGTCGTGGGGGGCAGGGAGGACGTTTTTTTTTTCCCTCTGCACCCCAGCTACCCTTTCACTCTCAGATGCAAACTATCCTTTAGCATGCACATGCTCATTTGTCAAAACGCTGATTTTGGAAACCGCAGAGAGGGTGACGGGTGGAGAGGTGAAATGTGAAAACCCACATGTGTTCTTTTTATCACTGAGAACACCCCCAGTGACACCTTGCACCCAGGGCTGCAGGAAATTCTGTGGCCCATGACCTAGAAAACCAGACCGGATTCTAACATTTACTTCCACCAGGTGTAGCCTAAGCCAGTTACCGGCTCTACCTGGAATCTCAGGGAGGGGGAAAAATAATAGAATATCAAACTAGGGCAAAATACAGCAGGTTTCCTGGATAAGAAACTGAACTTTAAAAACACAAAGTCAAGGTATTTGGGAACAAAATGCTTGAGGAAGAAAAATGATTATTTATTCTATATCCTCTAATGAATTTGGCACATTATTTGATGTACACCAGATTTGGCCAGAACCCCATCTAATGGATAAAGCAGAGTGAGCCCGTCTGGGGAGCCTGCCACAGAGCAGAGGATGGCGTGACGGCTGGTGGGAGGAGAGCAATGTTTCTTCTGACAAGAACCAACATCCCAGAGTTATATCTGAAACCCTGAACTCTCCCCTTTGTCGCCCTCCTTGAGCTGGAACAGGGGCCACCTGCCTCTTCCAGGCTGTAGCCAATCCATCCTGCTTTTAACCCAGATCAGGGCTTGGCTACTGGGCTGAGAACCACCGCCCCAGCCTCCTCTTCTGACTGCTCCTCCTTTGAGCTTACCTTAGCAGCACATGGTTGATGCAGAGAATTCATCACCTGATGTGACAGCCCAAGCGAGCCTGGCACTAAGAAACTCTCATTTGCAACCCAGAAATGCGCTGAGATGCCACAAACAGGCTGATGTCAGCACCGAGTTGAGCTCGATCTGCATATGGGCCAGATGCCATTACCAGAGATGCTTCAGCAACGGTGAGGAGGTGTACGTGCCCCAGGCCTCAGTCACCCCCTGCACTGGGGGCTGGCCAGGAGGAATGATACTGAAATATGGGTGCGCCCTCTGCACATGCACAAGCTTGGTGCACATAGGGCGTGCACACACACACACACACACACACACACAGACAGTGTGTCAGCTCATGCTGTAGAGGTCACACCCTACAGCCACCATTTTCCCATCAAGCTAGAAGGGCTACATGTTCCTGATGTGGATATATACAACCTCCCTCCTCCCTCCCCCAGCAAGATTATATAGCAAGCACCACCCAGAGATGCTCTGGAAGGAAATGTTAGTGGAAAGCCCCCTTGAGGGGCAAAATATTCAAAATTCCCTTAATCTCACAACTGTCAACTCCAGCATACCGAGTCAGGCGACCTGATTCTGTGTCTAGCCACCACCAGAGAGAGCTTTCAAATTTGTAATGTTGACCATGTCACATCCTGGGTAAACCTTTAAAGGCTTCCTATCACCCTCAAGAGGTTTGAAGTTTTCA